CACCCCCCCCCCCCCCGCCCCCACCCCCCCCCCACCCCCTCCCCACCCCCCCCAAATCCGAAGCCGAATTTATCAAAGTCGCGCAGTGGATTTTGAGGCAAGAAGAAGTGGTATGACAGTACGAACGTACTGTAAATACCGAGTAAAACGAACGTGCTCTTAAGAGGGTTGGCAGCAGAGGTGGTTGGTAGGGGGGGGGGGCGCCGCCTACTACTACTACTACTACTACTACTAATACTACTAGTACTACTAGTACTACTAGTACTACTAGTACTACTAGTACCACTACTACCACTACTACCACTACTACCACTACTACTACTACTACTACTACTACTACTACTAAAAATAAGGAAATCAACCATAGCAATAACAATAGTAACAATGATAACAGTAAGCGTCATAATACGAATAATAATGAAGTAATAACAGCAGTAATGAGGACACACTAAACAATAACAAGACACAATGATGACGCTGCTTGAACTGTTTAGGAAGCTTTCAGCTAGAAACTAGAAACGTGCAAACCCACGGGTGTTCTGTTTGTAATTTATCTGGCATAATAAAAGAAAGCACCTATACAAATTCGTATATGCGGAAACGGCAAACCTAACACAGATGCCAAGCGTCCAGTCTCTGAAACGCAAGCCGGTCGGATCGTTCCTTATGTCAGACGCAGACAAAAGACATCTCATTGACACTATACCTTAAATTATAGGGGCCTTCAATTATCTAACACCAGCTAACCAATAAGGGGCCTGAATAACTAAACTAGGCGTTCTCTCTGTCTGCCGTCGCATCCAGAGGTATATCATGGTATAAATGTCAAGGTATCGCAAGAAATGGTACTTGTACCTATTCAGGCCCCTAAAATTCGCCACCCTCCGGACCTTTCGCTGCAAGGCTTCTGATGGCTACAGTAGACCTGGGCCGTACCATCTGAGCAACTGAGCCTGGCTCCTCTTGTAAAGGAAGGCTGAAGTTTCCAGGGGTCCCGGGTGGCGGCGTGCCACCGGGAACATGAACATGCCTCGCGAAGCGCGCAGCAGCAAGCTCCGCTTTCGAAACCCACCCGATTTAAAGCATGATCCTAGCATGTCTATGCCTGTGCCTGTGCCCATTCTTCCTCAGCTGCTTAAAGTGTGGCTCACTCTGCGCGAAGTATGTCACATTTTTTGCCTGGTGGCGGGCTCCCGGTTGTTGAGGTGTCGGTGTGTAGCTGCTTAAACGATACAATAGTCTCTTCCAGTGTCCGAGAGCCCCAGAGACACCAGGCCCTCAAGCCCCATTCCGGAAACACGAAATCTCAAATCCGAGATCCTCCAAGTCCCGAAACTCTGGAAATTCGACCACCTTTTGAAGGGAGGAGCATGGAAGTAAGACTCAAAAACTCCACCAAGTCTACCATCCGAAACCCTAAACTCTACCGCTGCTGGACGCCTCAGGTCGGCGAGATCCAAATACTCCAGTGTGGCTCGCTTGGACCACAGGCGAGTGGTGAGGACCTCTGTAGGGGTTCGGTGTTTCGGGCTTCAGGGTGTAGGGCTACCCAGAGACTCCAGTATGACTAGGAAAACTTCCTATGTTCATCATGAGTAAGGAAAGTTGGTTCACGGAAGGTTCGCTTGATTGAGGGGTTTTGGTCCGGATAGCTGTTGGCCTTCAGCACTGAGGACTGGGACAAGCCGAGGGAGGGTTTCGGCATGCGGTTCGAGGCCTGCAGAGAAGTGAAACACAAGCAAGTTCAAGAGCGCCATCACAAGACACCATCAATTGCTCTCGACAACCTGCAAGTTTGGGTGGGTCTTCATCCCACCAAGATCCATGTTGGGCGAGGGTTCAGGGGGTTGGGCTTCTGCTCGCACTCTCGGGAAGCCATGCAAGACTCTTTCTCGGAGCTGCTTCCTTGCTCTGTACAACAAGGGCAGGCAAGCTCCACCGACAGTCCTCTCAGCCACTGCCACTGACACGAAGTCTCCGAACAGGGCCTGCGACAGAAGGGCTGTCGGAGCCTGCTGCTGCCAGCTCACTGGACTTGAACTTTCTGGCCCAAGCGGTTCAAGAATGACGGGTTCCGAAACTCTGCCCACCCTTGCCGCCCTAGCCCGACAGAACCCCCACATCCAATTCTTGAAGGCTTGGGCCCTCTTGGCTCGCACCGCTTTGGAAGGCACGAGCCTACAGGGTCAGATGCTGTTTGATCTGACCGACCTATTTAAAGATTATATAAGACAATGACCTACTGCTCCTTGTCCCTGTCGCTGACGACATCCCAATTGGCGAGGCTCATCGCTGCAGGCAGGATCCCGGACATCATCTGCTTGCTGTCGCCATCCCCGAACATGTTGAGGCGAACATCCTGCAAAGGCAACTTCCCGCACATCTCGACGGCTTTCTGCAAGCTGTAGCACCTAAAGCTGCTTTCAGGCATCTCCCGCTCTGCATCATACTGCATCCGCAGTCTTTCCATCTCAGCCTCTTTCTGGAGCCGCGCCACCTCAGCCTTGTTCGCAGCCCGCTGCTTCTCCACACGGTTCTCCTTCTCCAACCGGGCGAGCTCAATCTCCTCCTCCATGTGCAGCCGGGCTTTGGCAGCCTCCGCCTGGACCGCGAAGAGCTGCGCTTCCTCCTGCTCCGCCTTGAGGCGCTGCCGTGCGGCTGCAAGACGCTGCTCAGCCTCAGCCTCGGCCCGGGCTTTTGAGAGCTTCACATCGTCCTGCAACTTGCGCTCTGAAAGGAGCCGATCCGTGTCCAGGCGAGCCTCCTCGGCTTTTAGCCTCACCTCATGCCGGTGGGCTGCCTGAAGATCCTGAAAGAGCTTGTTTGAGCAAATGCGAACATCTGCAATCTCGATGGCTTCCACCCAGACGCCCCAACCTTGCACCTGCTCCATGACTTTCGACTTGACCTGTGAGCGGAATGTCTCGCGCTGTGTTAAGACCTCCTGGAGCGAGCTGTTGGCAACCTGGCTCCTCACCACGGCCTTCGCCATCTCTGCGATGTGCAAAGAGCCCGCATTTGAGTCGACGGTTCCGTCGCCATCCAGATCGCGCATGGCCATGTACTTGTAAGCAGTCCAGGGTCCCTCGCCATCTCGGTTCACGGCCCAGCTGAGATAGCCAGAGACTTCCAGCCCCTGCATTTTACAGTCCACTTGTTGGGCCGTGAAGCGGACTTTCTGGATCGTGGCTGGGAATGTGGCGATGGAGTCCCGCCATCCTCGAAAAGCTCGAAGACCAATGCCCTGGCCGATGAGCTGGCCGTCCCTCAAGACGAGAAGCCACTCATCTGGCTTGACCACACGCCACCGAGACCACCAGATCGCGGCGGCCGCAGAAGCGGGAATCGCAATGACAGCTCGCATCCAAGCAGGAACCACCGCGGCAAGAAACGCAGTAACTACGACGGAGACCAGCGACAGGATCCAGGCCCAATCCTTGGCCGTGTCCCAGCCAACAGGGTCAGCAGCCTTTGCCATGGTCTGCGAGGCACTTGAAGCCAGCTAGAAACACTGAGGGGCGCTTGATCAACTTGTGCCATCGAAATTTTTCGGGTTCTGGGCTCCGGACGGAGTAAGATGCGCCCAGACATACCTTTGCGTAACATACAGTATAGGTTGAAGTTAGCCGCATGAGTATCAGTCTGTCTATAGCGATATGTAGACACGAAATTGGAATTTCGGAAGCTTTTGCTGCATGTAGATGTGAACGTGCATCTGTCCACGAGGGCACACTTTCTACACGCGTCTAGCACTCGCAGTACCAGCGTGTGTGTGTGTGTGTCTCTGTCTGTGTCTGTGTTGGTCTCCGAATGTGCATTTAAGAGAAGACCACCCGTGAATCATCCTGACGCCCTCAACGAGGTTGGTGACAACCCTAAAATGCTTGACGACGGGTCCGCAAATTCCATGTACGGGGCTACGTGTCCGCAAATTCATGTACGGGGCTACGAGTGCGCACAATCGGGCGGAATGTCCACAAACCCCACACCGGATGAGCTCAGCCATAAGAACAAAGGGCAGGCACAGCCAAACAGCAGCTAGTACTGCTATAGTCATGTCTTCTCCTGATTTCATGAGCTGAGTGCCTTCTGCGTGGAGCCCGTGCCCAACGGCCTTAGCCAGCTTGTGCTTCAGGCTCACAAGTTGATTGACGCTAAGAATCGCTAAGACTACTTTCATGCCGCTTGTGCACGTTGCCCCCTTGTAAACCTGCTGCAGCTGCACTTCAACTTGACACCGTGCACAACTAGGGTGAATCGAAGGGATTACTTCCATTCAATGGGTACTGTCGGCACAGCTGCCCTGGATGTACATGCTTTTCTTCAGGCGCATGTGGTGCGACCGGGATGCACACTCAGCGGATATAGCCACACGGCACAACAGCCAGAAGCCATGAACACCGGCCACCACATCCTGGGTTGCTGAGCTACTTCAGCGTTGCTACTACAACTACGACGACGACAACGACGACGACTACCAATTACTTTGCTACAGTGCTACCTCTACTGGTAGTACTAGTGCTAGGCCTGTATTGCTAGTGCTCCAACTGCAGCTGCTGCCATGGTACCGCGGCCACGACTGCTAGCTCTAATTCTATCGCTACTTCTAATTCTAACGCTACTTCTATTGAATAATTGCTTCCAGGCACCGCTTCTCCTACGGCTTCTCCATGTTTCTTCTGCTCACACTGCTGCTGGAACACGAAGAAGCACCGTGCGGACGAATAAGCATCGGCAGACTGGTTGCTGTGAACACGGACGCAAGCTACGTATGCCTTGCCTGGTGTAAACCAGTCAGCAACCCAGCCATGGGGCGCCGATCCGTAGGCCCCGATGAAGATGTCCGTCAGCTCCGCGAGCGCAATCTCTTCACCTGTTGTTGCTACTCCAATTCTCATCCTAGGCTTTCTCTGATAAGCCGGTGCTCCACCCTCTTCACGAGCGAGGCGCCGAAAGTGGCTTCACCCTGGTAGATACAGAACCAACCAATGTCGGGCAGCAAAGAAGCATCACGAGACTTTTGCCAAACCGGACCCCATAATGCCACAAAGCTTGCACAGGGCGCCCTCAGGAACTGCGACATCCTGTAGGGATCTATACACCACAGTACCACGGAAACTGTACTGCAATGCTGTTCGTATTTGACCACATGCAAGCAAGCCTATGGAGAACTGCTCCATCTGCACGACTGCGATTCGGACCTTGGCTGGGAGTGGTCTTCGCAAGCACACATACACACATACATACATACATACATCCATACATACATACGCTGTATTTCAATTTCGGCGCTCACCGCGGCGCTCACACTCGGACAAGCCAGGCGAGTGTATGGGTCCGACTCGTCCGACTACTCGTTGCACTTTGGAAGCTAGGAGCGCGAGCTGTGCACAAAGAAACTTGAATCGACGTAAACAAGTGCTGGCTGCCTTGTCGAACTTACTTGCGTAGATACAAGTGCGCAGACACCTATGCCCAGCTAGGCCAGGCCCAACATACAAACATAACTGCACTCAAGCACAGAGAGACACACTGCAGACAGATACTACTAAACATGCCAGCAGAGACCCGCATGTTGAACCAATAAATACAACTGCAACTCCGTCCAAACACGCATGTAATACATGCATACTATCCGAACATAGGTACGAATACGCGGTCTTGTACCTGTTGGAAATTCAATGGCGAGCCAAGCGCTTTGTCCATCGTGGATCGCGAAATGCACTGAACTGGTCTGCAAGTGCGGCTTTTACCAGGGAAGCTACACGAGGGCTAGGACCAGCATACCACCGCAGATCTCCTGCTGCAGGCCCAAGCACTTCAGAGCTTGGGAAGCTCGTCTCAGCCCAACGCCTCACGCCGGATGTTCTATGCAACAGGCTTCAGACGTCGCCAGCTATCCCATTCTGTGTGGTATCATTGAAATAAGTCTGCTTGTGAGTGGCCAAACCGTGCGCGCTACATCACTTCAAGACTTCAAGACAGCCCTGCGCAGACCCGCCGTGAACATTCTGCAGAGTGTCGAAGCATCGTCCAGGTTCACAATCGTCCGGCTGCTTGCCAGGGATCCGCGGCGGACGATGAGGACCTGGGAGGTTGTGCTTGCCTCAGAAGCCCCCCTGGTCGATCCTTCCAAGCCATCGTGGATGTTTCCTGCGGAGATATATGTATACACAAATAGATAGAATTATATGCACATGCATGCTTGTTTTGCTGCTATTTTCGGAATTCTTACATGTATGATCACTAGTCTCATGAGTTAGTCTGGTCGTTCTATGTTGATAGCACTTGGAGAATGTGTATACCCGCGTATATTGAGACATCAATGTCAAATAAGTAAACACATGCACGCATTTGCATATGCTCGTGTCTGCGCAACTATTCACCTCTATACCTATGTCATACCTGTTTGCATGTCTAGACATATACATATATATATATATGAATGTTAAAAACATGCATATTTATTCACCAAAAGAATTGCACACAGTTATGTATCAAGTACACAACAAATATCTATATTTATTCCCTTTCGAGCCGCTCGCAGGCAGCTGCGGCTCTGACTCTCGAGGCACGGGTCGGCGGAGGCTGCAGCCGAGGCTTCCCGGATTCCCCAAACTTCGCTGAGCAGCTCCTGAATCAGCGGTAGGAGTATGGCCTTCGTGTCGTGTGGTCTAGTAGAGTATAGTACAGTGTCATGAAGTATCATGACTCATGACCGTATGATGAGACCCTACAGTATGATCAACATGCAGGATAGTATATCTAAGTCATTAATTTAGTCTCTATAGAGCTCTTGCAAGTCCCTGGGCCACGGCTCGCAATCAGATCGGCAAAATATCATGAGCAGGTCGAAGTGTTTGTTGTGTTGAACTGTCGGTCGGGCTGTAGGTATGACTACATGTGCAAAACATGCAAAACTCGATCAGCCACGAACAATCGGGCATACCACAAACAGCAATTCGACCACTCACAGTCGGACATGTACACACTGGTCAGTTGGCAATAGCACTCGTCAAATCTACCCTGTGCGAGCATGTCGTACTTTCGCCTTCTACGCATCTCAGGGCGAAGAACATTGCAATCCTTGTTTCTTCCCAAACTATGTAAGGCTGTAAGCACCGAATTTGGGGCGCGGGTCCTTCTTCGACCTGCCACCCCAGAAAGGGAACTGGCTAGCGACCTTAGACAAGGCGGCTTGAGGGCTCTATTTCGGGTTCCATAAGGTTTCTGAGGTTTTTTTCTCTGAGGTTTTGAGCTTATAAGGCCATATAACTTATAACTGGAACCTAACCTAGGCCAGCATCTGGAATCATCCAGCGGCCAGCTAAACAAAGACCGCGCGCCTTGGCATGTGTGCATGTCTGTATAGAATGTGTATATGCGAAAGCGTACGCGTATGACTGCGTGTACGTGTATGTACGAGAATGTGGGTAGGCGCATGTACACATGCATGTAATGCATGTGCACAGACACGCATGCATGTATGTACTTGTATGTTTTGTTGGATGCACTGCTTACGGATGTTTCCCGGTTAAGAACTTAAAGGTATGTGTGTGCCTCCCTTATGCCCGGGCTCTCGCTTTCCTTGACATGCGCTAGAACCCAAAACCGTCCTGTCCCACACTTCGACTCTCCCAGCAAATGAGACAGGCCTCCTGGCGACACACCAACCCGATTAAACGACGGAAAACCAGATATATTAGCTCTAACTTGGGACAGGACCTTGCCAAACACACGAATGCAAGCATGTGTAAATGCATCATGCACATGCGCACATATGTACACATGCAGATCGACTTATGTGTGTGCAGAGATTTTGGTGGGTTGAAACCGAACAATCAAGTCGATTCTCTGTGTGTGTGTGTGTGTTTTCTGTCTATCTCAAACGGGCAAAGGACCTACCCTCGAACCTCTGGATCTACGTGCACCCAGGTATGAACATGCAGGCAACGCTAGAAACAGTTTAGACATGTCAGCAGAACCCTAAAGCCCAATGTTTTTCGACGCGGAACAGCCAGGCAACCATGCGCACTGCTCAGAGGCCCCGCTGTACACGGCGCTCACTATGCTCCGAGCTGTTGTGGCGCAGGCATTGGCCCCCATTGCGGTTGCGGAACGAGCATCGGCATCGGAGGCATCGGAGGCCAGCCTGCCGGCGGAACCTGAAGCGTTCGGAACAACACACTTCTCGGCTTCCACATGACCCTAAACCCTAAACCCTAAACATGGTTTCGTTTCAGAAGCTTTCCACTCAAGATCGACTGAGGATCGGGAAACATCCCATGGGGCTGCTGAACAACCGGAGTACCCGGAGTGCCCTGCCAAAGCACCGGGGCATGCGGGTTCACCGGCAAAAGGTTCATCATCTGACCACGCCTTGCCAGGGTCTAGAGTCTAGAGATGTACTGTTGAGGGCAGTGGTCACGGGGCCGAAACATCACGTATCGTTACATGCTGACGTGTGGACTCACTTCT